GGAGATTTACATTCCACAACTCCAGACTGGATTCAAACCCAGGTCCCAGAGTTTACTAACTCACTATACCACCCAGTCAAATTCCTGGCATCAAACTCCCAACATTCAAGCTTCTCTTTAAGGAAAAAATAACTTAATACTGTCGTGATCTCATGCACAAAATTTTTATGTTTTCATCCAACCTTTAATGTTTGTATGGGCTTATAATTGCAACATTGTATTAGTATATCGAATAGTCTGGTTTCATACCAGTGTAACTTTATAGGTATCAAATGGCAGTAGTATTTTCAAACACGCTTCAGTAACCGACAGGGAGAAACTGCTTCCACTGGTGAGAGGGTCGGTAACTAGAGGACAGATTTAAAATCGTTGCCAGAGGGGAGGGGAGAAATTTTATCACATAGCGAGTTATTCAGATCTGGAACGCATTGCCTGAAAGGGTGGTGGAAGCCGATTCGATAACAACTTTCAAGAGAGAAGTAGATAGATATTTGAGGAGGACAAATCTGCAGGGCTATGGAGAGAGAGCAGGGGAATGGGACTAATTTGGATAGCTCTTTCAAAGAGCGGGCACGGACACAAAACGCCGAATGACCTCCTTCTGTGCTGTATAATTGTATGCTTCTATGAATTGTGATGCTTCTTTTATTTCCCGCTTCACAGTCTCAACCTATCAGTCCTTTCTGAATGGACATGTGATATAAATAGCCAATTGCAAATAAAATTCTTCTAAAAACAAATAAGAGTATGTTAAAGAAGGATATGTAAGCTCATTAGACCATAAGACATAGTTTAGCTTGTTTCAAGTGCTGTACCCAGAATAGGCTTTTTAAACCTTGGGTAATTATGTTTCATAAACTGTCCCATATACACAAATCAAAAACTTTTGTAAAAAAAGGATGGTATTGCACTTGCGTCCCATACTTGCAGATTCAAATTCATGGCAGAATAGCTACTCTTCACAATTGTATCACTAAATGATGTGTAAGCTTGACCTGTCCATGAACCAGACTTTCAGCTGACACAATAGCAATAACCCATTTCCATCTCACATCCAGTTTCCCCAATAAAATATATAGGGACAGGAAGGGTAACCTCACAAACATATATTGGCCATCATAAAGAGCCCAGAGACAATGGGTTCCATTGTACTATGAACCTAAAACCCCCAATAAAGTAGGAATCTTTGTAGTGAGTTTCAAAATGGTGAGAATACAAGCAGCAAAGCTAAAAGAGTGATCACAGAGGATCAATACAATAAAGACAGGAAAGCTTGGCAATAGAGAAAAAGAGGAAATTTGCACCTTTTAGGTAATGAGCCTCCTTAAGAACATAAGATTTTGCTTGGCGAAAGACCAAGGTCCATCCAGTTCGCCTTCCACCATTCTGGCAGTCATGTCCCAAACTATATACTGTATCCCGAGATATTATTTTCTAGCAGGAATCTATCTAATTTGTTCTGGAAACAAACAACATTTTCTGCTTCCGTCTCCCAAGGGAGCCTGTTCTATAACTTTACTACTCACTCACTGAAATAGTGTTTCTGCAGATTTGTTCTGAATTTACCCCTCTTCAATCACAGGCAGTTCCCTCTGATTCTACTGTTCAGTACACAATAAAACAGATTATCTTGGTCTACCTATTTCCTATCCAGAAATTCAAGAGAGGTATTAAGTCTCCTCAGATTTGAATGAAGTATTGTTTACTGTTGTTTACAAGGGAAAGGAATTTAAGAAACTATCTTTGAGGAAATTAAAGAAACCAGATTATTAATTCCCAATTGAGTAAGTATAGATCAAGCTTTCTGGATTCAGTCCCTGAACTCCAAGGTGAACATTGTAAGTAATGAGATTGCACAACCCTCAAGCATCCTGTAGTGCAGCAGCTAAAAGTTCAATGTTGATCACTGTACGAGTAAGACCAAAGCCAAAATCAATTTAGAATTTAAAAATAAAATTATATTATGTACCAACATAATACAATATGCACAGAGTAGTAGGATGCAGGTTCATATTTATAATTTCCCAATCTCAGCCAGGCAATACGGGGCAGCGCTTTCTGCAAATGAGGAAGAAAAATAATGAGTAGAAGGTGAGTCTATCCCAGATAATCTCATCCACCTTCTACTGACCAACTCAGAGCATCTTAGAAGCAGGTCATCTGCCCTGATTAAGAGGCAACTCATTCCACCTACAGACAAGAGGGAGGAGGAAGAGAATAAATCATTATCCAAACAGGAAATTAACACACATTCAACACACTGGAAGTGTAACCCCAATTGATTTCATTCAAATTCAAAATCTGCATATTTCCATTAGGCAATTATTAATACTGTACTAATACTAACACTGTTAAGCACTCTGAGATGCTACACTGCGTGGCATATATACTGTGCTTCAAACTTTCCTTTGTAGTGCAATGTTGAAAACCCTTCCAGAGATTCAAGCGCTCATGAATATTATTGAAATTTACAAAATTCTGTTCAGCATCTATTAAACAGTTTATATCGAGGATCCGAAGACGACATTGAATTCCTATCAGGATTATCTGGACAGAAAAAAATCAGGGTATAGTTAACACTATCCAGATTCAGGTCAAGTAGATACATGCGCTTTCAGCCACTACACTCCGAAACTCCGGAACACTCTCCCTCAATCCCTCCGCCTTGCACCCTCTCTCCCATTTCAAGTCTCGCCTGAAAATCTTCCTCATTGACCGTGCTTATGGCCACCTCCTCCACCCCGGCTCAGAGTCAGGCTCCGCCACTGTTAAGCACTCTGAGATGCTCCACTGCGTGGAGGGCATATATAAGTGCAAGTTGCTGTATATCAAATTAGCAGCTCCATAGAAATGCTTTTCTTTCTTTCTGGCAGAAATAGACTGGAGAATTGGAGCAGTCATTTATATCAGCTTATCCAGCCTTCTTGTCTTTACAGCTCAGCTGAATAACACTGATTGAAGAGACTGAGGTGATGTGTAAACCCAAAATATGGTGGAAGCAAACAAAAAAAACTCTTCAAACTGTATAAATGGCCAGTGGCATTCCACTGTGAACTTGTAAATGTGCATCCACATCAAATACACTGTGCAAAAGATGCAACTAATAGTTGTGTAAAAAGTAGCGTGCAATTTCCTACAAGGTGTTTGATAAGAGTAGATTCATTGTTAAGATGATCTTTTTAAATTCCACCCCACACACATTGTATTTAAGCTAGTCAAAACCCTTTAAAAGAAATGGTATTTCCCCGAATAAACTATTTTTAAAAAATCTCAAAGCTGTCACAAACTTGTCAGTTACTTTGACAACTAATGTACCTGCAGCAATTTAAGGGATTTAATGGAAGTAGAACCATTAAACTCTTAACTCTACAACAATTTTGGGTGAGTTGTTATGAGGATTTCTTTCCATTAGGTATCATCTTCAGTATTAAATCTTGCATAATATGGTAAGATCGCAATGACTCCCATTTATCTGTGTATCTGTATTAGAGTCTATTCTGCGAAGTGCTTTGAGACATTTCGAAGATGTGATAGGCGCTATATCAAATGCCAGGATTATTATTACTTATATTAATACTTCTTGCATAATATGGCAACATCGCAATGACCCATTTACCTGTGCGTGTGTATATATTTGTGTGTATATGTGTGTGAGGAAAACTGAAACCGTAGCCTGGGTTTTAAGTTAATTATTGGAGTCAGAAACGTTTGATCAGATCAGAGGCTCAAAGACTACAGAAAGTTTAATGGAGTCCTGTAGCGTAGTGGTAAACGCACTCGCCTTGCACGCAAGAGGACCTGGGTTTGATTCCCGGGCAGGGCGAAACGTTGGGTAAGTTTCCTTACTCCACACACCTCTGTTTACCTGGCAGTAAGGGTGATAGTCGTCTGGTGAATCATTTTTCCAGGGATAATAATCCATTAAAAAATAATAATTTGGTCACTCAATGCACGACTGTTTGTGGGGCACTGCTGTGCGCAATTGGCTGCCGTGTTTCACCCACAAAACACAAAGTTAATTTACTTTACAGTATATTCAGGTGAAGCTCTTTGAAACGTTTCGAAGGATTGTTATTATTACAATTAATAATTCCTGCATAACACAGTAACATCAGATCGGCCCCCGGTTATATCTGTGTGTGTGTGTGTGTGTGCGGGCGGGCGGGTGAGAAAAGGGGGTAAGATGGAAGCTGGGGGTTCAACAGGAACGGTGGATCACAGGCTCGGAGACTGGTGTTTCGTCCACAAGATAATAACAGCCAATCCACTTTCACAGTATGTTCGGCGAATGGCTTTGAGACGTCTCGAAGACGCTATATCAAATGCAAGGATTATTATGATTATTATTATACTTATTATTAGCGTAATTATTAAGAGTCGGGGCCGGTGCTGCTGCCGCCTTCCATCCAGTCTCGTGTCTCATCTGATTCTCTACGGACAGTTGCCCGGGGCTCCGGCCTGAGCTCAAACACAAACACAGCAACGCCCGGGGCCGGGCCCGGGGCCTGGGCCGTCACCTCCGGGGGGAGGACGAGGATAATGGGGGCGGCGGGCGGGCGGGCGGGTGGGGATAGGGGATAGTGGTTACCCAGAGCCGAGGCTCGGCCACAGCCCAGGCCCGGGTTCGGCTGTTCTGGGTCGGTGCCCAGTCTGGAGGAGAGGCTGCGAGTGCGGTAGAGGGAGGGAGGGAGGGAGGGAGAGCCGCTCCCCGGGGCCACACAGCCCTCCTCCTCCTCCTCCATCGTCCACAATCACCTCACAATCACTGCTCATCCGCCGCCCTCTCTCAGGGCCTCCACCTCGGCGCTCAGGGCCGCGGTGGCGAATGCCCGAGGCCCGGCCTTGGCTCTCTCCCTGTGTCCCCCCCACCCTCTCTCTCTCTCTCTCTCCGCATGAGGGGGGCAGACAGAGAGGAGATGGGGGTGGCGGGTCCCCGCCATGGGCCGAGGCCGGTGGTTGTCGAGCCCGAGGCTTCTGTTGCCCGCGACGCACATACAGACCTCGTTGTTGAAGGCTTTGACGGCCTCCATGGCGCCCGATCTCCTCCTCCGCCTCCTCACGGCACTCGTTCAGGTGGTGAGGAGGGTCTGTGTGTGAGGGCGGCGGCGGCTCAGGGCGGCCCCCGGTGGGAGGGAGGGAGGGAGGGAGGGAGTCAGTCAGTGGCCGCGCTTTGCTCTCATGTCGGCGCTGCGCTGTTGGGGAGGAGTGAGGCAATATGGCGGCGGCGGCCAGACAATCGCAGTCAATGTCTGCAGTGCGCGGCCTCCTCGGCACACAGCGCCCCCAGCAGGGCATCGCCGGTACTGCACACAGCGGCGCCCAGTGCCCCACAGGGGCACCCACTGCACCACAGGGGCACCCACTGCCCACAGGGGCACCCACTGCCCACAGCAACACCCACTGCACCACAGGGGCACCCACTGCCCACAGGGGCACCCACTATCCACAGCAACACCCACTGCCCACAGCAGCACCCACTATCCACAGCAACACCCACTGCCCACAGGGGCACCCACTGCACCACAGGGGCACCCACTGCCCACAGGGGCACCCACTACACCACAGGGGCACCCACTGCACCACAGCAACACCCACTGCCCACAGCAACACCCACTGCCCACAGGGGCACCCACTGCCCACAGGGGCACCCACTGCACCACAGGGGCACCCACTACCCACAGGGGCACCCACTGCACCACAGCAACACCCACTGCCCACAGGGGCACTCACTGCCCACAGCAACACCCACTGCCCACAGGGGCACCCACTGCACCATAGGGCCACTCACTGCCCACAACAACACCCACTGCCCACAGGGGCACTCACTGCCCACAACAACACCCACTGCCCACAGCAACACCCACTGCCCACAGCAACATCCACAGCAACACCCACTGCCCACAACAACAACATGCCCACAGCACCCCCCACTGGCCCCATAGCAACACCCAGTTCCCACAGCCACACCCACTGCCCCACAGCAAAACCCACAGCATCACAGCAACATCCACTGCCCATACAAACACCCAGTGTGTGACAGCAATCCCCACTGGCCCCACAGCAACACCCACTGCTCCACACAAACGGCCAGTACCAATGGTGGGACGGGTGGGTTGGGGGACGTGGAGCAGGCAGGAGCCGGCTGAGCAGAGGGAGCGGGCAGGTTGGTAGAGGGTTAGGAGATCGCAGAGGTAGGGTGGGGCGAGGCCATGGAGGGCTTTGTAGGTGAGGACCAAGATCTTGAACTGGATCCTCTGAAGGATAGGGACACCCACTGACCTACACCAACACCCACTGACCTACAACAACACCCACTGCACCACATCAACAGCCACTGCACACAGCAACATCCATTGCCCCACAGCAACAACCACTACACACAGCAAAACCCACTGCCCCCACAGCAACACCCATTTCCCCCACACCAACACCCCCTGCCCCCCAGCAAAACCCAGTGGCCCACAGCAATACCAACTGCACCACAGTAACACCCAGTGCCCCACAGCAATACCAGCTGACCAAGGTAACACCCAGTGCCCCTCAGCAATACCAACTGCCCCACAGCAACATCCACTACCCCCACAGCAACACCCATTTGCCCCACAGCAACACCCACTGCCACCACACCAACACCCACTACCCCCACAAGAAGGACCACTACCCCCAAAGCAACACCAACAGCCCCCGCAGCAAAATCCACTACACCCACAGCAACATTCAATGCCCCACAGGAACACCTGGTGCCCTCAGGAACAACTACTGCCCACAGGAACACATAGTGCCCACAAGATCACATTGTGCCCCACAGCATCATACTGTGCCCCACAGCAAAACCCAGGTCCCAAAGCAAGACCCACTGCCCACAGCAACACCCAGTGTGCCACAGCAACACCCAATGTCCAAGGCCACACCCACTATGCCACAGCGGCATCCACTACCCCCAAACCAACACCAACTGCCCCCACAGCAACACCCAATGCCCCACAGGACCACCTAGTGACCACAAGAACACACAGTGCCCCACAGCAAAACACTGTGCCCCACAGGAAAACCGAGAACCCACTGGAACATCCACTGCCCCACAACACCACCCACTGCCCACATCAACAGCCACTCCCCCATAGCAACACGCACTGCCCCCACAGCAACACCCACTGACCCACAGCAACACCCACTGACTCACAGCAACAACAACAAGATTACATTTGTATAAAGCCTTTCACGTCAGGCGCTGGGCAGCGTACAGCATTTCAGAACTGAGCTGGGGTCAGGGAGGGAGAGGGAAGGGGAAGAGGGTGACTGATGGCATAGTTGAAGAGGAGGGTTTTGAGGCGGGATCTGAAGGAGGCTAAGGATGGGGGCGAGGCAGAGTGATTGGGGGATGGAATTCCAGAGGTTGGGGGCAGAGTGGATGAAGGCGGGTGGGTCAGCGGACGTGGAGCAGGCCAGAGCTTACTGAGCGGAGGGAGAGGGCGGGTTGGTAGGGGTAGGAGGTCGCAAAGGGAAGGCGTGGCGAGGCCATGAAGGGCTTTGTAGGTGAGGACCAGGATCTTGAACTGGTTCCTCTGAAGGATAGGGACACACACTTACCCACAGCAACATCACCAGCCCCATAGAAACACCCACTGCCCCACAGCAACACACACTGACCACAGCAACACACACTGACCCACAGCAATGCCCACTGCCCACAGCAACATCCACTACCCCCAGCAACACACGCTGACCCACAGCAACACACGCTGACCCCCAGCAACACACGCTGACCCACAGCAACACACGCTGACCCACAGCAACACACGCTGACCCACAGCAACACACGCTGACCCACAGCAACACACGCTGACCCACAGCAACAGCTACTGGCCCCACAGCAACACACGCTGACCCACAGCAACACACGCTGACCCACAGCAACACACGCTGACCCACAGCAACACACGCTGACCCACAGCAACACACGCTGACCCACAGCAACACACGCTGACCCACAGCAACACACGCTGACCCACAGCAACACACGCTGACCCACAGCAACACACGCTGACCCACAGCAACACACGCTGACCCACAGCAACACACGCTGACCCACAGCAACACACGCTGACCCACAGCAACACACGCTGACCCACAGCAACACACGCTGACCCACAGCAACACACGCTGACCCACAGCAACACCCACTGGGCCATAGCAACACCCACTGGGCCACAGCAACACCCACTGGGCCACAGCAACACCCACTGGGCCACAGCAACACCAACTGGGCCACAGCAACACCCAGGGTCCACAGCCCCAACCAGTGCCCACAGAAGCACCCAATGCCCACAGCAACACCTAGTGCCCCACAGGAACACCCAGCACCCTTAGGAATACCCAGTGCCCCACAGCAACACACAGTGCCCCACAGCAACACACAGCGCCCCACAGCAACACACAGTGCCCCACAGGAAAACCCAGAACCCCCAGCAACACCCAGGACCCAAAGCATGACCCAGAACCCCCACAGCAATATGCACTGAACACAGTAACAGTCAGTACCTCACAGCAACATCCACTGCCCACAGTAACACCCACTGCCCGCAGCAACACCCACTGCATACAGCAACACCCACTGGGGCACAGCAACACCCACTGGAGCACAGCACCAATCAGTATCCACAGCAGCACCCAGTGCCCACAGCAACACACACTGCCCCACAGGACTACCTAGTACCCACAAGAACACACAGTGCCCCACACCAAGTTCCTACAGCAACACCCACTGCCCACAGTCACACCCACTGCCCACAGCAACATCCAGTGACCACAGCAACACCCAGTGCTCACAGCAACACGTACTGTCCCACAGGAACACCAAGTGCCCACAGGAACACAGTGCCCCAACGCACCACACTGTGCCCCACAGCAACACACTGTGCCCCACAGGAAAGCCCAGAACCTAAAAAACAACAACAAAATTGCATTTATAGAGCGCCTTTCATGTTAGGAGGATGTCCCAAAGCACTGAACAGTCAGGTGTTGGGGCCCGAGCAGGGGGGAGCGGGCAGGTTGGTAGGGATTCACCAGGTCAGAGAAGTAGGAGAGGGCAAGGCAATGGATGGCCTTAAAGGTGAGGACGAGGATCTTGAACCCGATCCTCTGGGGAATGGGGAGCCAGTGGAGTCGGGCGAGGATGGGAGTGATGGGGTCGCGGAGCTTGGTCGTGAGAGTACACGAGCTGCAGAGTTTTGGATGATCTGCAGCTTGTGAAGGGAAGAGTTGGGAAGACTAATGAGGAGGGAGTTCCCGTAATCGAGCCTTGAGGTGACGAATGCGTGGGTGAGGGTTTCGGCAGCCTGAGGGGTGAGGCAGTGGCAGGTCTGGCAATGTTGCAGAGGTGGTAGTAGGCAATGCTGATCATGGCGCGGACATGGGGAAGAAAGGACAGTTCAGGGTCAAACAAAATACCCAGGTTACTGACTGGCTTAGTGAGGTTGAGTGTGCAGCCGTGGAGGCTGATGCTGCCAGCGCCTGCGGTGCGGAGGGGCTGGCGCGAGCCAATCAGGAGGGCCTCGGTCTTGCTGACATTGAGTTGGATAAAGTTGGCCCTCGTCCAGGACATGATGTCGGACAGGCAGTCGGTCAGGACCCCAGTAGTCCTGGAATTCAGGGTGGAGGCAGAGAGGTAGAGTTGGATGGCATCCGCATACATGTGGAAATTTACCCCATGTCTGCGGATGCTATCACCAAGGAGGAGCATGTAGAGGATGAAGAGGAGGAGACCGAGGACAGAGCCCTGAGGAACACCGCATGAGACAGTGCGGGGGCTGGAGGAGAAGCTGTTTGCTGCGACGAAGTGGAGGTGGTGTGAAAGGTAGGACCTGAACCAGTCAAGGACAGAACCTTGAAGGTTGAGGTGGGAGGAGAGGCGGTGGAGGAGGATTGAGTGGTCCACGGTGTCAAAGGCGGCGGAGAGGTCAAGGAGGACGAGGAGGCAGAGGGAGCCCTGGTCACACATGGTCAGGAATACGCACTGCCCCACAGCAACACCCACTACCGCAATGTAAAACCCACAGCAAACAGCAAACAGCAACACCCACTGGCCCACAGCAACACCCATTTCCTCAACAGCAACATCCATTACCCTCACAGCAACACCCGC